AATGACACCCGTGATGTTTTGCTCTACGGTCTGATTCGAAACGAGATTGTCCGCATGGACTTTGTACTTCACATATACCCACAGGAAAAAGCCTAACGCTGTGATATTACCCTATCTTGGTGCCCAATTGACCAGCCCAAAACGAGAAAATTTGTGCTCACCGTAGTGCTCTCTCAATAAATACATTGATTTATGCGATATGTGGGAAATGGTGACCGGCCACCGGCCCACAAACCTCTTGAATGTTTTCAGGTTGCTGTTTATCCCAAATGCGGCAATTTTGCTTTTTAATGTCATCTTATAAACGTCAGATCTTCTTGGAACTTGGAAAGGTCGAGGTTTTGCACGAGCTGTAGCTTGTAAGCTTTCAATTTAAGATTTCGACGTAAAATGTGCCAAGTCGTTCCGTACGTCAGTCGGAGTTCCTGCGAATGGCACTGAATCGACTCTCCACGGTCTTCGGGTACACTCTCAATTACGGTTGCTTATTTTCTTCACTGCGTGATGGTCATTGTCAGTCGGTCGAATATTATACAAAGCAAGTGAACACATTGTTTACAGGACGTGAATTTTCGTAATAAAGTTGAACAATGTGTAAACGTTGTTCAGGCGTAAGTCTTTCCATGACGAAATGCCAAACAATACCTCTTACGATGCATGTCATTACAAGTTTTTCGCTTAATAGGTTATCAAGCGGCATAATAAGTCAATATAGATAAATTTCTTCCTCAAAAACTATTTCATAATATTTGATGTTTACAATTAATATATTTGCAATCGCTGTGATTCTAAGCCCAGTAAGCTGTATGCATGTAGATACTTACATTTTACCGGTTACTGTTAGTATGTTAGTAACTATCAATGAAGCTTATAGAATAGTTTTCCTTTATCAGTGGCAACAATAAATATAATACTTAAATAACAGCAAATTATTTGACTTGCCATTGAGATCACAAGGTTGTGCTGGGTACTCGCGAATACGAGTAGATATGTATATGTATGTGCGGTATAACTAAATAATTCCAACAAATATAATGAACAAATTAATAAGCAATAAATAAATAAAGTGCAATAAAATTAAATCAATGTTATACTTGAGAAATTATCAACAAAATGTTGGAAATTTTCAAAGAGGAAGTGCATAAGTTGAAGTCTATAAAAGGAACCGATGAAAATCATTTTAACTGATTAACCGAACGAAATGTGTCGCATGGAACAACTCGCGCTTGCAGCGCTGCTTGCAGCTGTGCTTTTGGTACACAGCGCGGAAGCCAACCAGGAGACGAGGACCTGCTATGCCTGTGAAGGCATTAACTGTCAAAGAACGTCACTTGCCCAAGAGCAGAAGTGTTTGAATGCTTTGGACTATTGTGTGACTGTCTTTGATAAATGTGAGTAGAAAAAAATATGCATATAATTTTCAGTAATACCCAATGAATATAAATTTTGAATTCTAACTAAAATTAATTATTGACTTTGTAACCTTGATTTTCAGTTACCGTTGTGGTAAAGGGCTGTTCACTCGAGGTGCCCAGTGAGTTGCGCCGCCGCTGTGATGCCAACACCAACGAATGTCATAAATGCAACTCTGATCGCTGCAACAATTTGGGTCAACCGAATTATCTCTGCTTGCAGTGTGACTCTAGCAAGGTATACACACAAATATTATATTTCAACACTAACAATTGCGCAAAAATAATAGTAATTCCATTTATTGCTACATTTCTAGGATGCCAATTGTGCCAGCGCTGCCAGCTCTGTAACGCCAACACGCTGCGCCTCCCCGACTTCCCAGAACTCCTATTGCTATGTGAAATACGACGGCGGTGTCACCACACGTGGCTGTGCCACAACTCTGGCGGACCAACGCAGCTGTTACGCGAGTGCCAATTGCATGCTCTGCTCACCGGGCGAACTGAAGAGTTGCAATAGTGTTGACTTTCAAGCTGGTACACGTGCTCTGAGGCTTTAGAAAGTAATTCATACGTGTATACATGAGTGGTTAAGTAAACTTGTAAAATTTTAGCGGTTTTGATGTTCAACTTGCTTTTGTTTTATATTTAAAAATAAATTGTTAAATGTGTGGTTGCATTTGTCGAAAATACTTGACTTTTGGTATCTCTATTGTGTTTTCACTACGTACATAACTTCGAACCCGCAGAAAAGATCTGAACAGGCATATGGCTGAACTTTTATTTCACGTTTACTGATAGAGAGAGTTCGTAACATGTATTCGTCATTACGTTGGTGACATATTAGGATTCAAAGTTGTAAAGATTTTTAGGTGAGCACACATTTCCAAGACATTTCAAGTGCTCATATTAACTTAAAATATTTGCTATGGACTTTGCTGGTACTGTGAGCTAAAGCGCCTAGAGTTTTTCTGAGCAGTACGTAAAAACTTAAATATTTTCCAAAGATCACGATTGAAATATTTTTTTATTTATATTGAAGTAAAGTGCATTTAAATTCAAAATTTCCGTCTTCTAAATTAGATATCTATTCCTTGAAGCTACCTGTACATAGACTGCATCATAAACTCAAGAGTAGATTTTAGTTATCTTCGAATTGAAATTCTAATTTAAATTGTATATTATAATTTTATATTGTAAGGTGTACTCATGTGGTAAATTCCATGGTTATTTTTTTTTTTTTTTTATGGCACCCGGGAATTTAATATTGGTTCTTTCATTCTAACTGTTAATTTGAAAGCGTTAAATATTAATGAAGTTTTTCTGTGCTTTGGAGCTAACCACGTATCCATAATATAAACAAGTCCGATACATTGTTGACGGTTTCCACATCAACTCAGTTAGTCTCTTCGTTTGAGTTTAGCCTCTCTGGTTTTTTTGAAAAGGAAAAGGGAGCTCCTGAATATCTTCAGGTTGCTCTTCGTTCCAAATGCTACAATTTTGCTTGTTTACATATCCATTGAATCAGAATGTCTGACAAATATTGGGCTCGAAAACGTCGGATCTTCTTGGAACTTTTCACCCATAAAGCAAAGCGACCTTACGAAGATCGAGATGTATTTTCATTGCTATCAATTTAAGATCTCGACTTAAAATGCGTCAAGTCGTTCCAAACGTTAGTCCGAGTTGCTGGGCGAACGGCGCCGAATCGACTCCCACTTTGCTGCTGTATTTTCTTTACTGCGTGCTGGATGTGGTCAATTCGGTTGAATATTTTGCTATAAAGAATCCTGGGTCTCAAGACCAGACAATACTAAACAGATATAATATGACAGCTTGACGCGATTCTCGCGTTATCTGTCAAAAAAGGCTATTGAAAAAATTACCTCTACTTTGATCACCCTTTATATTGTTAGTATAATATATTAAATGATAACTTATTGCCACATTCAAGTCAAAAACAGCAAGAATTATAATACTTGTTCCACCGCTCCAACGGCTTTTGGTTCTATGTAACTTGAACGGACGGAAGCAAGTAAAAATTATTATTGGTTTATTTGCCAAAGTAATAACCATAAGTAGTGTTTAAATATTTTCAAAATGATCACACTTCTTGGATCATTGTGATCCAATGATATCCATTGATTCCATGAAGCAAATATAATGCCTTAAATGTTTTAAATTACTTCGGAAAAGTTTATGAGAGCACTACTACGGATATTACAAAAAAAAATTCTTCATGTTAAAAATACTTTAGATCGACAACAAGTCATACCTATGGAGCCGTGGTGAGCAGCATTACGAATAGACGAAAGCCAGTCTTAGTCTAGCTTAAAGAAGTTAATATAATTCTCAAATAAAAGCTGATTTTATGGGTCGATTTGTATTTCAACTATATGTTATAGTAGTCCGAACTCAACAATTCGTTTAAATATTGTGACTTTATATGGACTTTATAAGCAATCTTTGCCAAATTATGAAGATATATTATTAAATAAAAAAGTTTTCCCCACAAGAAATTTAGTACGACAGTTCAGTTTGTATGACAGCTAAAGCGATCTAATTTGAGCAGTTCCTTCAAGTGAGCAAGCTTAGCGAGAGAAGGGCATGTGTAAACTTTCAGGTAGATATCTTTAAAACTGTGGCACTAGTTCGCGTATATACAAACAGACGTCAAGATTATCATTTATATAAACATATATTTTATAAGGTCGTTTAATTATCTTGTTTTTCTAGATATTACCAACTTCTTGGCAAATGAAACGTAGTTCTGGATAAGGAAGCAAAGCGTACGGATCTGATAGTGAACGAGGCCAAGACGAAATATCTCCTGCCATCAAATACGCACTCGCGACTTGGCTTCCACGTCACTGTTGACAGTCATAGCTTCGAAGTCGTAGACGATTTCGTCTATCATGGAAACAACATCTGATGAGTTGACGAGTTTTCGAGAGAAAGGTACTGCAGCTACGCTGGCTAGGTCATGTCGGCCGAATGGACGAAACCACTCTACGTGGACTCTTTTAAGAATTTAACTTGATACTGAATTATATTAAAATAAAAGGGAGAAAACTTGCGCTGTCGTGGATCCAACAACACTCCAGAACTATTAATAATTCGATAAGAAGAAGAAGTAGCCGTAGAGCAATAGTCTGTCTGTATTAGGAGCTTAGGAGCTTTTCGATTACAAAGTAAAAATTTTGAAAAATACCAGAGTAATTCCTTTGGCTTTTATTTGAATTAAATGCAGGAACACCGAATCGATTTAGTGCTTTTATTGTTAAGGCTATATGTTATAGGAAGTACCTGCATACGTATTACAAATATAATCAGGTTTTAAGTGCGTGATATTATATAGAGGACTACATACCCCACGTCAAATCGTACAACTGAAGAACTCTTTACAGTTATCTACGAGTGCTATTATCTGATAAAACATACAGAGGTAGATGTAAACACTTTACTATTCTAAACAAAAATATTATTTAAAGTCTAAATGAGCGAATCAACAAAATTACAAGTACGGGCATATGATGCATGAATTCCCAACAACAACAAGTCCAGCAATCTCTATAAATATAAGTTGCATAGAAATGCAACGGGTTATTTGACTGATGTAACAATACCGGTAGAGGCTTAAGAAAATGTTGGAGCTAAATAAAAGGACACACAAAGTGCTGACGTATGCGCTGGTGGCCTTGGTGCTGCTGCAAGTGCTGTTCGAGCCCACCGACGCGGCGGCGAAGTGTCACAAATGCACCGGAATTAATTGTCAACGCACGACTTACGCAGCCACGGAGGATTGCACAGACGCGCTGGACAGTTGTGTCACCGTTTTTCAAGAATGTATGCGACCTTTTAAAAACTGCATTAATTTTTTATAAAATAAATTCTCCATTTACTTGTCAATATTCGCAGCTATGGTCCTAGCACAAGGCTGTCTTGGTCAATTAGCCGTAGAGTTACGTAATAAATGTGAAATGCCAAGCACTGAGCAGACCGATGGAACCGAAATGACAGATGTTGATGCCGCCGTGCCCGCAGTTAATAGAGACTGTCATCAGTGTAGTGAGGATTTGTGTAATAATCTTAGCGCTGAGGGTACTGACTGCTTACAGTGTGATTCCAATGAGGTAAGATCTTAAACTTGAAAAATAAATATAATATTTTATTGAGTTATGCCACAGGAAGCCAAATGTGCGAGTGATACTGAGAGCCTACAACCACAAAGATGTCCTATTTCAAAGGCCGTAAATACATATTGTTATGCCAAAATCGAGGTAAGCCGCGCAACACGTGGTTGTGCCACAGATTTGGCGCAGCAAAAAGAATGTCTGAGCAATAGTGGCTGTAGTCTCTGCTCACCTAATGATATTAATGGCTGCAACCGTGATCCTAAGGTAGCAACAAATGATACAACTTCGAGTACAGGTGACTCTGACATGAGCTCAGGAACTTCAGGTACTAGTAATGACAGTTCGAGCTCTAGTGGCTCAGGTACAAGTGGCGGTGACTCGAACTCTGGAAGCTCAGGTACTGGTGGTAGCGGTTCGAGCTCAGGTGTTGCCAGCGGTGGCTCAAATAGTGGAACAAGTTCAGGTACGGGAGATGGAAGTTCGAGTTCTGGAGGTGGCAATAACGGCCCAGATAGTGGAGCAGGTTCAGGCTCAGGTACAGGTGGTGGTGACTCGAGCTCTGGTAGTTCAGGTACTAGTAATGGCGGTTCGAGCTCAGGTACAGGTGAAAGTGACTCCAACTCTGGAAGCCCAGGTACAGCTAGTGGCGGTTCCAGCGGTGGGTCAGATAGTGAAGCAAGTTCCGGTACCGGAAGTGGAGGTACGAGTTCCGGAAGTGGCTCGGGTTCCGATGCAGGCACAGGTGGCAGTGACTCGAGCTCTGGAAGTGGTTCAGGTTCTGACTCAGACACTGAAAATAGTGGTGCCTCCGGTGTATCAAATAAGCTATTTGTCGCAGTAATTTGGATGGTATTACCATATTTTATATAATTTAAACAAGAACAGTATTTAAATTAAAGTCGTAATAAGAAATATGACCATAATAGTTATAAAAACTGTTCTTTTAAATTTATGAGAAGCGTTTTCCTTACAAGAAAGCTTAATCGAAGAGAATTAAAAATTATAACTAAAAAAATTAACCAGTACCAACTGAAACCGGGCGAGCTTCCAACGAATCGAATTATGTGATCAGGCTGTCAGTTTTAATTATCATGTTTTTCTGTATAGAACCGTACGAAGCTTTTAGCACTTTGCTGGAATGTGAAATCTCCCCCGATTTGTGGTGAAATGACCTGCAACAAGAAATCTATAGATTGAGAGATATTTTACTTACCTCAAATGGAAGATAACATTATGAAAAAACTACATGAAATTCCGGCAAAGAAAAAAAACAAGTCAAGGCTATTGTTAAAGGCAAAGGCAAAAGACATTGTAGTAACGCACATTATTGGTTATCTCTTTATTAAACTAAACATGGAAAATATTTAACTCGTTACTCCCTATCTAAAGTGGAAGAACTCATCTGATATCGCCTAAATTCTTCTACTACACTATTAAATTTTACTAGGGAGGGTCAATTAGAAACTGTATTCTCCGTCAACAAACTGATAGGACCAAGTCAGTGTGGCTTTAGGAAAAACCAGCAACTAACCAGATATTCACCATGCGTCAAAACTTGGAAAAAATCCGTGACCAGGGGATCGAACACACTATCTCTTCGTCGATTTTAAAGTTGCTCTTGACATCCCGAAAAGGAGCTGCCTTTATGCCGCTACATCAGAATTTGGTATCCCCACAAGAGTAATAAGTAAGTGTTAGTTGAGTATAACCAAAAGCTCCTTCAGGAACGGGAAGGACCTCTCCGAGCTGTTCGATATAGAAATTTCAGACAAGGCGACTCCCTTTCGTGCGACTTCTTCAATCAACTATTGGAGAAAATAATTTGAGCGGGAGAACTAAATAGAGAAGGTGTCATCTTCTATAAGAGCGTACAGCTGCTGTCGCACGTCGATGATATTGATATCATTGACCTCAACAACCGCGCTGTTAGTTCTGCTTTTTCCAGAATGAATAAGGAAGCAAAGAAAATGGATCTGGTAGTGAACGAGGGCAAGACGAAATATCTAGTGTCATCAAACAATCAGGCGTCGCACTCTCGACTAGCCTCCCATGCTATTGTTGGCACAAACATCCCGTAGGTGCACAAAGTCATAATACCCAAGTGATACCTGTCGGACTGGGGTAAATATTTAATATTTTTTTCTTCAGATTAGGTATGTATTAGCAATCTAAAGTCCAAATACAAACAGATCTACGAATACATGTGTCACCCGGACAGTTTCAAAAATATCTGATACTGACCCTTATCACCACTAACAGTCATTACATATTTGTGCTCGTAATATAGAGACAATAATAGTAATCTGGGTAAACTTAACTTGTATCATTAAAGTGACAATGCAGCTTCAAAAAAACATACACACCTATCTCCACTTCATACTAACACATAAAATTATCAATTAAATAATAACTTGCAAGGGCGTCAATGGCATTTTTGTTCTACATTAGGGATGGTACCCTCCACTGATTAATTCCTTTTATAAAAATTGATTAGAATAAGTACCTATGTACATCGGTAGAAATAACAGTAGACATTAATTTCCGCCAGAATAGATAACGGAGCAGTAAAGTGGGGTAGTGACTAAGTTAAGTTAATCAAAGAGTGTCTACTACTTAACTCACCACGTATGCTAATTGAAAATGTCATTATTTATATTATCTGGCCACAAAAAAAGTTAGCTCAGTCTTGAATGAACTTAACGGTCCCGAAAGCGTTTGTTGCATATGTTTGTTCATCGTTATCGATGACGTATGTATAATGACCTATCACAAAGATATTGATATAACATTTCATCATCTTGAGAACATGCCCTGCCCTAACCATTTTATTTCATATCAGTTGATTGGTTGAAGCCTTAGGGGCTAAGAATTTTGGTATTATTATACTATTTTTACATAGTGGTACAGAGTATAATAATTTTGTTTTTGTACCTTGAAGAGTGTCAGCTTATGATCAAAAATTATCCATATGAAATCAAAACGGTTCAAACCCAGTTAGTATTAGTGTACGCTTGTCACTCTGATGTACATAAAGTTCATTCCGCGATTTTTGAGATGAGTGAGATTACTCAACAAAGAATTTTAATTAAATTTTGTGTATAGAAACGTTCAGAATGTTAGAAAAGGCCTTCAGTGATATTATTTTTATGCGAGCAAGTGTTTTTGATCTGTACAAATTAGTCAAAGAGGGTAAAAGATGCGTTGACGACGAACCACGTCCAGTAGGGCTATAAACCTAAACGGATGGTCAACACGTCAATAAATTAACGGAATTAGTGCTTGAGCATCGGCGATTAATTGACGTCGTTGGAATACTTCAAAGATCAATGAAAACCATTTTGAAGGATCATTAGGGCCTAACAAATGTAAAATCATGATTGGTCCGAAATCACCCAATGCTTTCGAAAAAGAAAGTCGCGTTAACGTCTGTGAAACAATGCTTTTAGACTACTAGGATGTCATGAAACATATTATAGCTGGCGATGAGTCTTGGACCCAGACAAAAAGACTTTAAATCGTGGCAAAGCCGAAGCTAAAAAAACAGGTCAAAAATGAAGGTTATCTTGAAAGTTTTCTCAAATTATCGATATGTGTTACACACAACATTCCAGCAAACTGTCAACAAGGAATACTATTTGAGTGTTATGCGTCACTTGCGCGAAGCTATTCGTGAAAATAGGTTGGAATTATGAGCCGAAAACTCTTGGTACCAACGATAATGCACCGTCGATTACTGCTTTGATTCTTCGTGAGTTTTTCGCCAAATCTTCAACCAATATCGTGCCGACACCACCGTGTTCGTCTGATTTGGCTTCGTGTGACTTCTGGCTATTTAGCAAACTAAAACGACTGCTACGGGGAAATCGTTTTGGGTCAATTGAAGACATTAAACGTGAATTACTACGCGTATTGATGGATATTCCGAAAAGTGACGTTAATAACAGTTTCGAGGATTAGAAAAAACGTTGGCACAAGTGTATTTGGGCCGAAGGGTATTACTTTGAGGAGGACGTCAAAGATTTTGGAGAATAAATTTGGTGTTTTAAAATTATGAACAAAGCCTTACTATTTTTTGTTCATTGTACTATTTCTGTTAACAACAATATGCCTAATATAAGAATTTCACGATTTTATCGCACAATAAATGTTGAGTTCTTCCGAACAACTTTAAAATAAAGTTTTTAATTCAAAGTGCAATTTTTCACTAACGACTCTGGGGCGGACCAACACACCATAACCTACTTTAAGCTTAGTATCCAGCTCTCAAGAAATGTAAAAACTTCATATAAAAAAAAAACGCTTAAGAAATGATCAAGTAACTTTCCTGCGATAAATTTACTTATGCTAGTATGCAGCTCTAAAGTAATCTAGTACTAATTTTTAATAAATTTTTTCAATAAAATGCGAATATGGCAATCCTGGTTTTGCGAAGAAACATCAAATCGACAATTATTTCTTGAAGGAAATTCAAATTAATCGTTAAATTCATCCTAAATTAGTTAAATTCATTATTATGAAATATATTTCTTTTTGAAATGTTGTATAATATAATATTACAATACACATACATACATACCTACATATTACACACAAAGTTTATTTTCTTTCGTTTATTCTCTCTTGCTCTTCTATTGTGGATCATTCACAATGCGTAACCAGCCGTCAAAATTACTTGAAGAAATAATGTATTTTTTGTCTTGAGCAATTACTTGTGAGCTGGATAACAACCTTTGCCAGCAATGTATTAAGAAGCGATCCTTCTCTCTCCACTGGTAGTTTTAGAAGGCTCTTGTTGTGGTGGCAGAAAGCTTATCCGAAGTAATTTGGAGGAATGCTGCCGAGTTGACAGTTCTTAAAATAAAATCCAGGCTAGTTGCGGTTACGACCACACTATAGGCTGAACTTTACTACGGATGTACAAATATAAAACTAATTCCTAAGTAAGGGGAAATGGGGAAATTCCGATTCGGATTTTTCTATCGGCATTTCAGCTATAAAATTCAGATTGTAAACTATTTAGCTTAGACTTGTTTTAGGCAAATATCTCTTTAACCATCTAATGTACATATATGCTTTTGACGATCACATACGTACGTATCTTATAAAGATGTAATTTTCTAAATTGTTCAGCTAATTAAAGTAATCTTCTTCATGTCGTCACTTTAGTGTTGGCAATGCTTGAATTATGCGCTCAAAATTTTAAATTAAAAAAGGAAAAATTATCTAGTCAAATTCAAAGCAAAAAAAGTAATTAGATACCTTATTAAAGCATTATAAATTACTTCACTGAGTCAATATATTTGTTTTATGGCAGTTTGCTTAAGGCAGTTGCGTTAATATTGGTTCATTAACTCATTAAATACAAAATAATAATCATAATCAATTTTTGTCGTAAAATCATATTTTTTTTTGCGCTGGAACTTTTTGAAAGTGCAATATAGCATATACAAACAGAAGAATAAAGATATATACTAAAGGTGCTATTGATTTATAATCGAATGGACTATTTGATGCTTGAAATTTAAGTTTCCTTCTATCGATGAATCTATTAAGAGAACACTTCGGTAAGCAAATAATTTCACATTTTGAGATGGTCGATTGGCCACTAAGATTGTGTGATAGCACATCGTTAGACTTTTTCCTGTGGGAATATGCAAAGACTAAAGTCTATGTGGAATCCTGCTTCGATTCAGGCCTTGAAACAAAACATCACGGGTATCATTCACCAGTTAGCAGTCGAAATTTTCGAACGAGTCATCGAAAATTGGACTCAACGGATAAACCCTCCGAGACAGCGCCGATAACATTTGAAAGCGATAATCTTCATAACAAAAAATGCAAAAAAATTTTATTTCGAATGATAATAAGCGTTTCCCATTAAATATAAAGTTTCTGTGTTATTTTTTTTTTAAATGGCAGGACATAATAAGTATACATTAAAATATAGATATTTAAGAGACTAACAAAGTGGTGGAGAAGTAGATTTGTACTATCCATATAATTAAGTTGATAAAATAAAAGAAATTTTGGTTATTATAGAGGTTTGAAAAGGATTTCAGTGGCAGAAATGTATAAAACATGAAAGGGGAATCGACACACTCGGTAAAAAATTAAAAATAGTAATTTGGCATAACGGCCTCTTGTACAAAATGATGCTCTTGATGCTCTTTCCCTTAGTTTATATTAAAATTATACAAAGTTTTTTGGCAACCGATCATTTACACTCCACCTAGGTGAAAGGCAGTCTTGCAAAATTGACATCAATGCTGGTTGTCCTCAAGGTTCGTATCTGTCTCCATTGTTCTATAACATTTTTACTTCGGACTTTCCACCTCTAAGTAAGAGCACGGCTGCTATTTTCGCGGACGCCACCGCAATACTCAGCTGAGGCTTCATTGCAGCTGATATCACAAATTCACTCCAAGAGGACTTTAATGTCATTGTCTCTTATTTTAACAAATGTAAAATTCTGGTTAATACTGACAAGACTCAAGCAATTTTTTTCACGAGGAAGCGTAAAGGCATCTTGCTCCCAACAAGTCATATTTCACTTAACTCTTTCGATGTTAACTGGGAAAAGACTGTTAGATAATTAGGACTAATACTAGACCCTAGACTGGCGTTTAAAGACCACGTGCTTTACATCATTAAAAAAAAACAGATAGGTTATTCCGACTAAATAGAAGGTTTAACGATCGCTGTGAGCATTCCACGTACTCTCATATTAATGAATGAATTAATTAACTGTTGTAAAAAATATTCTTGGTTATAAAGTAGAAATAAGTAGGTTAAGACAACATTATCAAATAATTTTTAAGTGGAAAGGCAAAATCGCCTGTACTCTTAACTTATATATATTAGTCACTGTAAATACATATATTATAAGAAGAAGTGAAATAAGTTTTAATTTGAAAAAAAAAACATACATATGTATGTATGTATATATAGAGAGCACAGATGGACGAGAAAATTTGAGTACCCCTTTACACCACTTTGCACCAAAATGGGATTAACAAAAATGAAAAGGTTTAGAAGAACTAACACATATATTTTTGGGGGGAAAAACATGGCACACAAATAAAGTGGTGAAATAAATGAGATATCTCTCAGAAATCTGTATACGTATCATTCAATACCATAAAGTTCAAGTTTGCGGATAAAACTTCTGAAGCAGCCAAGGACATATAGATAATACATTGTATGTATATTTACTAAGGTACAATTGTTCCTACACATATATTAAGAAAACCTACCGATGCCGAAGTGTTCGTTTTGGTCTATGAAAGTTTGCAGCAATTCTAATCTCGAATATAATAAGTGCAAATAGTGCTTAGATAAGTTTATAATACAAATTCAGATTACGATTAGCGAACGATAATAAATGTCATACGTGTATGTATGTATGTGTATATATGTATGTATAACGACTACAAGCTTTGGACATGCTAGTGCAAGAACTAATAGCTAATCTATATTGCAATGCTTGTTATTTTTATTGTTAGTAACCGTGTATATTGGTGGTTTTTGTTTTTGGCTATAACAATTTAGTACAATTGTTATTGATAACATGGCTCATAAATACTGTATTATAGTTCCTTGTGACGCTAAGAAGTTATGAAATGATGATTGTAAAATACGCACACATTTGGTATCGCCGATTAGTTGATAACACCACCGGCTAATTTAATACGCGAGTCTATAAAAGCCACTGACCAACGAATTGCCAAATTAGTTGGCCGTAAAATTTCGGACGTCTCTTAACGTGCAACGTGAATTGGGCAAAATGTTGCCCCGAAACAAAAAAATTGGACTCCTTTTATTAGGTTTAGTGTTCTACTTAGTCGGCAGTGAAATTGGTAGGACACTACAAATTTAAATATGAACTAGTGAAAAAAAGTTATTAAATGTGTATAATTATTATATACAATAGTGTATATATATTACATATAAATGTATTATAACAGTACATAAAAAAAATTTCGACGTGAGGTGCCACGTGTAAAAGTGCGTTTAAAGTTTCTGTGAAACATTGCAAAATTTATAACTATAAAATTAACAGATAATCGTTAATTACACAACGGTTCTGCAACCCAATGGATTACATGTTGCAACGTTTAATTTTTGTTAAATAACTTATGCGTTTATGACCAGAGCAAAGCCAAAGCAACTATAAATTTAAATAAACCAAACGTGGTTGAGTATAAAGTGATAAAAAATTACGGTGGGGAAATCCAAATTAATAAAAAAAAATATGGCAGATAAGCGGCTAAGTTAAGATAATGTTATAAAACAAAAACCCAAATGAATTTAGAAGTTCTTTAACCACGTATAATCGAAGGTCAATTACTAAACGCAAATCAAATATTGGCGCTACAACTGAATATGGAAATGAATATGTTCACAGCTTTTCTGGTTACCAAAAATATACATCTATATTTTCTTGCTTTACCAGTGAGTTGTTCAATATGCAATTTCGCAATGCAAATGCACCTGATAGTATTGAATTTTTTCGCAGATAGCTTTACACATGATCACTTTCTCCTTCTTTATTAAATTCCAAGTGTAGCCAGGTCCTTTTCCACCTGATCTCTCCAACGGAGTACTACGTCGATACTCCCAGAGCTGGAATGTTTCACACCACCTTTGGTTTTCGAAGCTGACGTTGTTGTTGGTATTAATACTGGTATAAAGATAGACGAAATTATCTACGACTTCGCATTTAATTCTTGTAGAAGATCGTGCCTTCTCTATTCAGTACGAGAGCTCGAACTATTTTCTACAGGAGTAGATTAAAGAAGTCGCACGATTTGGAACAGATTTTGTTTGGAACCCTATCGAAAATGGAATATCAAAAAACGGGGTTCGGCACAAACTTTGAAATATGTGCGTATGTAAAAACGTACGTGTTGACAGAACGCCGATGACAAATTTTCAAATTTTCGATCTTGACAATGCGAAGCGTCCTGGTAAGCATATGGATTTGGATAAAATAAACTGATTGGTGATTGGTCAATAATGTTCTTACAGAACGAAATTTGCTTCGTTGCATTACTGAATGTGATTTGCTCATCAAACATTTTTTCGGATAAGAGAAACTAAAACCACTTGACTCAGTTTTTTGTCTGTAAGGATCAACAATTTCATGAGCGTGAAATCAATCTCTTGTCCGAAAGATAGTAAAGTATATTAAAATTGCGCTATAAGCGAAATTACTTAATGAACAATTAAATATTACTTTTAAAACTCTCTTTTTGGACAAACTTTCCTCTTTACTTACCAATTTTGCTAGAAAAAATTATGAAGAAAATATTTGTGTTTTCCGAAGACTTTATTTTATACCACAGTCGATATGCTTCAACATCAGATGTACATATGCCTGATCATAGCGGAATCGCTGTAAATTGCAAAGCTGTACCATCGAAATGGTAACAAGTCGAATCTTCATTGTTATCCTGTACTCTAGTTTGTATCTTCAGAACTCGCATGCGCATAACAGATGCTAGGCAACTACCGGTTCCCTTATGACTGCGAGATCCCTCTGATCTAGAGTAGAATGTAGATACTGAACGGCTTATCCTTTGCCGTCATCATCATCTTGCCGTGATCATGAGACTACTTAATAGACACAATCCAATAGGCATTCAAGCTGTAAGGCTAAAAATTCAGTCGGACGCAAAGTCATAGTTGTATGGATCCCTATTAGGATCGACCATTTAACCCAACCCATCCTAAACACAGTCTAGAGACGAAGTGATTCAGTTCGTTTGCATATGTAGTTGCTCCATTTTCGAGTTACTAATAAAATATAAGTTAAGCAACAACGCGCCTGTTTATTCCGATATCAACGCATTACTTGAAAAATTAAAGATTCCAAAGATAATATGTATCTCAACATAAAAAAAAAATACTATATCTGTATCAGCAATAATGTCAACAGTAGTAGTTTTGGAAAATATTTTTACAAGTTGAGCGTTCTTTTGACGCTTATATTTTGATATGGTGATATGGTGGCTTTTGCTAGATCAAGACGGTTCAGATCAAAGTGCGTCAAAGTTTTACTAATTAGAATAAATTCATTCATAAAGGATGATTTTGAAAGGGATAGATTTCTTAAAATCTTAAAAGGATTTAAATTTAGTATATTAGTAAAAGTCAGCTAAGAAATTCCTAGATGGTTTGAAGTAAGAAAAAATAATACAGATGTTAAAGAAAGTGCACTGGTAGATAATTATCAATTTAAGGGTGTTAATGTTGGCGAAACAAAGATAGTCTTCGATTGTTATTTGATCAACAGAAAATCTTCCATTTCACAATGTATTTCCGGCTATACAATATTCATATTGAACAATGTGTGATATGGATAATTCATCATCGATATACATGCATCGATATTGAGAGCTATTGACTAATAATGCTTTCTAATTGATTTATAGAAATTATAAACCTTTTCATTGCCTACTTCTTGTCAAAAAACTACCATAAGTTTTATTTTATAACTAATATTTTTCCAAGAGACGTTAACTAATCTGAATGCCGACTACTTGTGCGTCAAATCTTATCATCATGGAAACCGTTGATAACAGTACTCTGTTCTCGTGTGTAATTTGAATAAATGGTCACTACAAATTCATTAACATGTAGAAAAACCCGTTGATGCCATATATTGGTCACTCCAACTAAGCTCTCACTAATGCTGCGCCAGTTTTGCAACATAACCTTAAAAGCGGTACATTTCGGCAATTTAGGGGTTTTGTAAAAAGTATTAACAATTTATTTTGCATGAGCCAATTCACATATTAAATACAGAAGTATTTTCAATGCTAAGATATATTTAGTTTTTACTTCACAAGCAATTAATAAATTTCGTAAGGGCTAAGCATTGTGGTGAATTTGAATTTTTTTAATCTTAGGTATATAATTTTTATACATTTTTCAAATTTTTTTAACTGTGGCGCGCGCTTCTTTCTTTCCCAGCCAACATTGTTGCTATTATTCTTCGATTCTTATTTATAACACCTTCAGCGACGCACGTCTACCTGGAAGTCCACCAAGTATCGAATTGCTCGCATTATGCAACGGCTGTCGAAAAATCAGTAAAAAAAGGCAAATAATACTGATTCGTTAAGCAAATTTATAAAGGCGCAATAAAACGCTTACTTTAATTTCGCCATAAATGTTGATAACGGTCGTAAATAAAAGTTTACCTACAAAAGTAAGCAGTTGTCCTTTATTTTTTTTTTTTTAGTAAAAATTCGACAGTCAAATCTTTATAGACTTATTTGACTGCGATATATTAGAAGTAGTACGTTTTTCTTATATTTCATTGCAGATAAGTGACATTTGCGCTTACCGGCCGGCATAGATACCGTAATAATATTAAAAATGCAATTCTTTTCACAAAGAGAAAAATCAAAATAAAGAATTTAAAGATAAACATCAGCACATTAATTTTGCATTTTATCTTTCACTTAAAACAGCTATAAAAGTAAATATTTATATATGTATGCTGTTGTCGGTGGGGCGTATGAGTAACCAACAGCGAATTTTCTACGGGCGAGCGTATTTTTTTTTACAAAAAGACAAAAAAAAACTGATCAAATTATTCAAATCTATTAATTTTTACGAAAATAAGCAAATTACGATTTCAGTTTTGAAATTTGATTTTTTATGACTTTTAGCAAATTTGTATTGATTAGAACCAAACTTTTTTCAATATTGTCTTAATAATTTTTTCTGGATATTTTTTATGAAATCATCTCGAAAATTGACTTTCTTCTCCTTATGAGATGTTATATTCCTGTTCAAAGCTCCACTTTTTAAGAAAAAACTTCCTTGAGTAAAACCAGTCAAAGTGAAACCAGCTGAAATCACTATTTTCGAAACCGCTCGTATTGAGTAAACAAATGGTTGCCGTTATAGTATTTTGAAACCATTTGTAGATTTAATGCTTTCGGAGCTATTGGGGAACATACATCGCGACAGAATTTTTCTCAAAATTAACTGGGACTACACATTGTTATTTAGAGATTCAGATCACAGTTCAATATAACAAGTAATCCTTTCAGTTCCTCGCTGAAAGTGGCACTGCTCCCATAGTTTGCTGGTTGTTTTTGAATATTTACGTTTATTTTTTGGTATTAATATGTTTCGCTTAGTGTTTGTTGATGGGGTGCATACATTGCGCCAAAAAAGTACAGATATTGTAAATAAAATGCAAGATATTTGATTATTCATCAATATTTTGTATCACCTTTCGCATCTCTTATAATTTCTGCGAATCGAAGCAGTTCTAGTACATTTCAAAATACTATTTTTCGCAAATAGCTTTTACTTTGCGATTTTTTTCTCTCTACTGTTTAAGTAAATTTTCAAAAGACTCTTTTGAAAATGAAAAATATTCTTTGAAGTTAAAATTGTTCAAAAAAACAGTGAAACCCAACCTTAAAGTAATGCATAATATTTAAGTTAAAGTTACCCAAAAAGTCTTAACACCCTGACTTAAGTTCTATTTAGCGGTAATGTAATTTAATTTAAACTCTCTACAAATTATTGCATAAAAATATGATCATTCTATATATATTTTGTAGAGTCTCCGATTTTTCTTTCGTTTTAACTAACTTATTATACCCTGTTCGTGGTACAAAAATAATGGAAATGAAAAAATTAGCAATAAAGCAAACTTAAACGCACTTCGAAAACAAAACACATGCATGCAATTAAAATTAAATATCTTTGATTATTGCTATTATAATTTAAGTTAACAAACTATCAAATTAGTTATTTAATTTTTAATTAATATTTATGAATCTTGCAGTTGTTGTCTCTGCACTTCAATGTAGTCATTGTGAAGGCGACGATTGTGACGATCCAATCGTGAGAGATTGCACCAATGAGACTGATCAGTGTTATATACGGCTCGAGGATAACCTCAACTTCGTTGGCATGGGTTGCGCCTCGACCTTGGGGAATGAGACTGAAATCGCTAACTTAATCAGAAATAAAGAACTTTACGTTTGTTCGAATGCGAATTGTAATGATTTTGAAAATTTACCACCAATAAATGATTGCACCGCATGCGACTCGTCGACCGATGTGAGATGCGCTATTCAGCCTGCAACTGCAGGCACAACAAGACGTTGCGCTACTGTGCCCTTTACACAGTGTTATGAGCGCGTCAATATCGCAAACGGTGGCACGACAGAGCGTGGTTGTCTCTTTGAACTGGAAGGTGATGATTTCTACGATTGCCTTAGCGGAGAGGGTGAGAATTGCAAAGTGTGCACGGGGAGTGGTTGCAATACAGAGGTGAGTGTGAACGATGATATGGACTACATTGTGTTTGACATATTTAAGAAGATTCATTTGAAAGAAGCTAAAATAATGTATTTCTTTTTATGAAACAAAATTCTTAAAGATTGAATGATTATGTTTTATTAGTAAATTATTAACGTTATTTATAAATGTATGATCACTGTTTTAACAGGTGTGTGACTTTGCTATATTCGGTACCAGAAATTAACAGTCAGCCTAGATATAGGCCACATGTAATACTTTCCAGTTCCAAGTCATGAAAATATACATGGCATACATTTAAGGGTATTTAGAACTGATGGAACTGATTCGTTTATTGAACGAATTTTCCGTTATTTATAAAAAAAAAGTATTATCATATTCTTTTAAAATTTTGTCTCATTATTATGTTTCTGACATTTATTTGAGACATTTACTTCCATGTCAGCCCAAGAAGATTGAGAACTATACAACATTGACTAGCATGATTAGGACAACTGAAACACAACCATATATTAACTTTTCTTTGACTCTATACAATTTAACAATTTCTTCTACAGATTTCTATAATATTTTACATTTACAAATTTTTTTGTAGATCGTGCCAAGCAATCGTCAACAATGTCAACGCTGTGACTCCGATACGGATAGCACCTGCAGCAGCTTGCCATCGGCGCTCTCCACTTGCCCCACATACGACGTAAATGATACATGCGTCTCTGTCTATGAGTCGGGTGTGACACGTCGAGGCTGCGCTAGTGAGTTCACTTGCGATGTAACGGCTAGAAATTGTGAAATTTGCAATGCAAATGGCTGCAATACGGCAAATGTGCAGAAACGTGCCGGGGAATTGTACGGTATTTTCCAAGACTTGCCTTTGAATTGTTATACTTGCGCTGATGAAGATTGCGAGACGAGCAGAGGATTATTGCGCAAATGTCAGGGTGTTTTATATCAAGATTGTTTGACGGTCTTCGACGCGGCCGGGAAAGTATTGGAACGCGGTTGTGAAGCAAGCATTAGCACCGAGCATCAGTCCTATTGCGCCACAAATCCATCACTGTGTTTTAATTGCAAATCGAACGGTTGCAACAACCAAACCGAAGTGAAAACAAAAGAACAATGTCTGTATTGCGATTCAGCCGTCAATGCCGATTGTGCAACGAATATTGAAGCGATCACAAGCACACGCGAATGCGTGGATGGCTGCGTGACCGCGTTGTATGAGCGCAAATCAAAACCGAATGTGTTCGATCTGGCGCGCACCTGCTTCGAGGATGTTGAGTTCGATGCTCGCGAGACTTGCACAGCGGCGAATAATTGTGTCCAATGCACCGGCGAGAAATGTAATACAGCGCTAGTGCCGGCCGAAGGACGTCTCTCTTGTTTGCACTGCAACGGTGATGATTGTGACAGTCCGGTCTCAAGTGTTTGTAGCACTTACTCTGCGAGCGACCAATGTTATATATTCTTTGATAATGTAACAAACAGCGCTGTGCGCATGGGTTGCAAGAGCAGTTTGCCAGCTGGCGCAATTTACGCGGATATCCTGCATTACTTCCTCTGCGATGGTGACGATTGCAATGATTACGACAATTTACCGGAAGCTCATATATGTTATGATTGCGATTCGGCGACGGATGTGAATTGTGCCATTAGCCCTTCAGCCATTACAAGTCAAGTGAGATGTCAAATTCATCCGCATACCGACTGCTTTACGCGCATAAGCGATGGTAAGAAAATGTTGATTAGGTTAAGTCATAAAAATGAGCTGTCATATTTGCGTGGCAGCTCATATAAGGCCGCGCCTGATGGGTACTTGTTAAGTATGTGAATGAAGTGGCGTACGTATCGTATAGGTATGCCACAACGAATGCGCTGCGCAAGTAAACAAAAATCAGCTGTTCCTTATAACCATCAATATCAAATGTCAATTGAATACGTTAAAGCATGCAAAAGTTGACAGCTCAGTTGTCAGTTGCATACTTCACTGTTATGGAATCAACGTACCCACTCTGACGTGCCCTATACTCCACCGAAGTTCTCTACTCGCTATTTCTCCCCCGCTCTCCTTACTTTTGTTTCTGTCTTAATCTCTCTATCTCTTGAAAACCCAACGTTATTATGCGAAATATTCTTCACTTTCCAATTTAAAATTGATTCTGTGCGAAGAACCCAACCCTTTTTGTGCTGCACTGTAGTTACTTCATATAATTTTAAGGTAACTACAATATTTCTTTCATACAGATGGTCGGACTGTACGCGGCTGTATTAGCACGCTGAATATAACGGAGTTCCTCAGCTGCCATGAGGGCACACCCGGCGAGTACTGCAGAATATGCACGCAAAACAACTGCAATGTGAACATCTATCCCAGTGATCGTCAACGTTGCTACCGTTGCAATTCCTTAGACGATCCCGATTGCGCCAATAATCCCGACAATAGTAATTATTCTGCCTGTCCGTTATATGACAGTGATGATGTTTGCGTGAGCAAATTGATCGGTGGCACTGTGCATCGCGGTTGTGGCACCGAACTACAATGTGATGGTGGTACGAATTCGAAGACTTGTCGTACGTGTGAGGACTTGTATTGTAATGATTATGTCTTTACGGAGTATCCGATTGGCGATCCAGGCATTTTCCAGGAATTGCCGTTGAACTGTTACAATTGCAATGGCAACGAGGAATGCAGCGGCAGTTTGGGCAATGTGCGAAAATGCTTAAATAATAATTATCAAACCTGTACATCGGTATTTAATGCAACCAATGGCGAAGTTATTGGACGCGGTTGCAGCGATACCTGGGCGGAGACGTGTGCCGATGATGATCACCAGTGTTACGATTGCAAATCGAATGGTTGTAATGTGGCCAAGACGACAGATGACTACATCGAATGTATATTTTGTGATGCGCAATTCGATGAGAACTGCTTGACCGATGTCAGTAAAATCGTACAGAGGCGCGCTTGTTATAAGAGTTGTGTAACGACTTTGTATAATCGCACCAACGACGACACGCCAGTGCGTGAGCTAATACGTACCTGTCTCGATGATATGGATTTGGACGATCGTGAAATCTGTGCCGATGGTAAAGATGCCAATTGCAAAGCATGCGACGGAGAGTATTGTAATGATGCCATTGTTGGTGAACGCATTTCGTGTTATCAATGTGTGGGCGATGAGTGTCAAAGTCCTGTAGCAAAAACTTGTCGCGCTGTAACCGAAGGTGATCAATGCTTCGTAGAATACGATGAGACCAGATCGATTGTGGAAATGGGTTGCAAGAGCAAGTACGATCCGGCTGAGGTTAAGGAGCTTATTATAGCCAAACGTCTGTGGCTTTGTGATGGTGAAAATTGTAATACTGTCGATGCCACGCCAGTAAGTCAAATTTGTGCCGTTTGCAATTCGATAACCGACGCGGACTGTGCGATTGCGCCGCAAACTGTCACATCGCAAACAACTTGCGCCAGATCACCTTATACGCAGTGTTATTCGCGTGTGTTGAGTGGTAAGTACCGGCAATTAAGCATTGCTTAAGGCTGTAACGGTACTTTATAAATTTCATACTTTTTTGTTTTCTTTAAGACGGTCATACGGAACGAGGCTGCTTGTCCAGCATTGAGGGTGAAGATTTCTACGATTGTTTGCTGGGCGCAAATACAACGAACTGCTTAGCTTGTGTTGGTAGCGGATGCAATTCAGCGGTAAGTTTTCATTAAAAAAAAATGTGTTAGTTGTTGTGCCAAAGTCGGCTTTTACTCAAGGGCATGTTTAGTATAGAAATTATTTAGCTAGCGCTCAAAAGTAAGCTTTAGTTGGCTCTTTCAGAGAGCTGCCAGTCGCTTTGCCTGTTTGTACTTTTCTCTCCGCTGATTAAGAGTTATACTGTTGGTGTCAACACTATTATACTATTGGCGAATTACTGACAAATTTGTTAGACCGCTAAGCCGATGAAGTAGCCCTTAAATTCTCATATTAGGTTGTTAAATATCTTCCTTCCGCCTTTTTGTCTTTTTAATTTCGCGGCTATATATAAAGCGCTACATAGCTCGTATCTGGCAATACTATACATCTTTGAAAGGTATTGACATAAACTACAAAACGACGCTACGCATAAATAGTTTGGATATTGCGTTCAACAGTTATAGACGTGTAAACATGGAGTTCACGTTAAAGGCAAATCCGCTAGAGAAACGTTTCGTGAGATTAATATTGTTTTGGGGGATGGTACTCTATCAGCGGGCTATAAAAACACCATGGATAAGGTAGCCGCCGGAGACCTGTGACTGGCGACGAAAAATGAACAATATCAAGCGAAAACGATCGTGATCGAAGGCATGGTGAAGGCGAAGGTGAATCGTCCCAAACAGTGGCCAATCCGGGATTGATGGCCAGGAAGGTTTTGCTGTGTGTTTGGTGGGATTGGAAGGGAATCATCCACTATGAGCTGCTTCCATATGGGCAGACGCTTAATTCTACCATCTACTGCAAACAACTGGATCGCTTGAAGCAGGCGATTGACCAGAAGCGTCCAGAGTTTGTCCAACAGCAGGGTGTAGTGTTCCACCCGGACAACGCCAGAACACACATTTCGTTGATGACTTGTCAGAGGGTACGGGAACTCGGATGGGAGGTTTCATCACATTCAACATATAGCCCGGAAATAGCGCCAAGTGGGGCTGTCCGAGTTCTTCGGAAATAAGGAGGGGGTATTGTGAAGTTGCCGTCTAGATGGAAACAGATTATTGAACGAAACGCCGCATGTTTGAACTAAATCCGATCACTATAATACTTTTTATAAAGCATTGAATAAAGAGCAAAAATACGGATATTTGACCACCTTTATATGTTTTTTTTTTTTTTTTTGTCTTAAAGAGTTGAACGCTTGACCGATAAACTTGTTGACATCAAAAAAGCTTAAATTTATTATATTTTTGAGTTTAGTAACTTCGTAAATACTCCACTATAGCTCTTAGAGTCGCCAACTCATAAATATACTATACACTCTCATATATGGCATCTGCTATTTTAGATCTACCCTGCAAATCGTTTGTCCTGCCATCAATGTAGTTCCGAGGCTTCTTCGCAATGTGAAAGCAAACCAGATGTCGCCTACTTGTGTTTGAAATACAGCGAATCCCAACAATGTGTCAGCACTATTGATAACTCCGGCTATACTGTACGTGGTTGCAGCTTGGAAGTCACATGCGGTTCTGATGTATGCGAGACTTGCAGCGGAGACGATTGCAACGTGAGCAATATCAAGCGAAAACTCAGCGGTCGACCTGGTCAATGGCAAGAGCTACCGCTGACTTGTAAGGTTTGTGAGGGCAAAAGCAATTGCGCTGGCACACCAACGGAACTCGTTTGCACAGGCACCAATGACTATTGTATGACAGTATTCGACGAAGATGATAGTGTGTTGGCGCGTGGTTGCAGCAGCGGTATTGAAGCTACGCATGGTGCATATTGTGATGTCAATGCAGATAAATGTCAAAATTGTAACTCGAACAATTGTAATACGGTCAGCGCTTTGACGGACTACGTTGATTGTATTTACTGTGATTCGGCCAACAATGCGAACTGTGTTTCACACCCTGAGAATGTGAGCGAATGGCGCAAGTGCAATACATATTGCATGACAGCATTGCGTCCTAGACAAGCATCTCCCGAGATATTTGATTTGTCTCGTAGCTGTTTGGACGATAAGGAAGCAGCCGATCAGTTGATCTGTCGTGAAGGTAGTAGCGACTGTGTGGCATGCCAAGGCGCTGCCTGTAACACAGCAGTATTGCCAGCTAACCGACGTTCCTGCTACACATGTCAGGGTGAGCATTGCGTTGAACCCGAAACCGCCGAATGTACGGCATACACGGAGAATGAACAATGCTATGTTTTGTTCGACGATGTGAGCGATGTGCAGCGCATGGGTTGTGTCAGCGATTTGGACAGTTCATATATAGCACAAAATGAGCATTTGTTGTTGCGCTGCAGCGATGGCGATAATTGCAATTCGTTTGAGAGCTTCCCCAAACCGATCACTTGTTACCAGTGCGACTCGGCTGATGATGAGTCCTGCGCAAACGACCCATCGACAATACAGACATTGGCAACATGTGCCGCATTGCCAAATGTAGACTGCTATACGCGCGTAATCGCAGGTAGATATCTAATGAGCATTAATACAACGATATATTTGAAAAAAAAAAATATATACATATATAAATTTTCCTCTTAATATCTTACAGACGGTAGCACCCAACGCGGTTGCGTGAACACTCTTGCTAAGATCGAGCTACTCAGTTGTCTGAGCGGAGACGAAAGCCTTTGTCAGACATGTAATGATAGTCTCTGCAATAAAGAGGTAAGCGCAACTGGTCTTAAAGACTGCCGTATGTCTCATTTCAATAAAACAAAATTTGGATTTCTTCAAAGTTTGTGCCCCAAAAGCCAATGAACAACTTTCACTATACGAACAATATTTCTTTACTTTAACAGCCAGTTGTAATTTTGTTTTTTCGAATCCATAGCTCTTCCCACAAGATCGTCGCAGTTGTCAACGCTGCAATTCCGAAGATGATGCAACTTGTCAAAGCTCTCCCAACGCCGCTTCAGTATGTCCAATCTATAACGAAGATGAATTCTGTGCTACTAAATTGGTTAACGGCTATATCTACCGCGGTTGCAGCTCCGAGTTTCAATGTGACGTCACAAACAAGCTGTATTGCCGTCATTGCAATTCCGATAATTGCAACACTGTGGACTTGACCAATTTGGGTGGCTTGAATATCGGCAAGCCAGGTAAATGGCAAGATCTGCCATTAACTTGCTACGATTGCGAAGGGGACGATTGCCGAAACTCGGCCGGTACACTGCACGAATGCGAAAACAATAACTTGCAAACTTGTCAAACTGTCTTTGGTGCTGATGGTGCGGTGGTGCGACGCGGTTGTAGTGACGATGTCTTGGCCACACATGAGGAATACTGTGAAGATAATACTGGCCAATGTGTCGGCTGCAAATCAAATAATTGTAATAATGCCACCAGTCTGGATCAATATGTTGACTGCTACGCATGTGACTCGGCGACTGACGCACAATGTGCTTTAGACTTCGTGGCTGCAAACAGCGCACAGCGCCTATGTCAAGGTCATTGCGCTGTGGCATTATATCCACGTAGTAGCTCCGCAAATCCTTCTTACGAACTCGCACGCACATGTTTGGATGATTTGGAGCTTGACGATCGTGAGAAATGTTTGGCGGGTGAGCATGAGCTCTGTGTAGCATGCGAGGGTGCGCTATGCAACACTGCCTCTTTGCCGGCAAACAGACATAAGTGCTACACTTGTGTGGATAATGAGTGCATTGACTATAAGGTGGCCGAATGTAGCGCCTACCAACCGAATGATCAATGTTACATTAGCTTCGATGCGGAAAACAGTATCTTGGGCATGGGTTGTCGCAGTGACTTGGAGTCGGATGTCATAACGGCATTAATTAAACAGAAGGTACTGTTATTGTGTGATGGTGATGCATGCAATGGTGTGGAATCAATACCAACAGCTAAAACTTGCTCGGTGTGCGATTCCGAGAGCGATGAACGCTGTGCGACCAACCCCAACCTGGTGGCCGATACGGAACGCTGTTCGAATCTGCCGTACACCAATTGCTACACTCGCGTAAAGGAGAGTAAGTATAAAAAAAAATAAATGCATGCATTATTATGGCTCATCTACTGAAACTGTGTCACATATTTTCCTTTCCTATCACCCATAGATGGTCATACCGCACGCGGTTGTCTTTCCAACTTGTCCGAGGACACCTTCTACAACTGTCTCTACGACAACAGCACCCTCTGTGAGACTTGCATCGGTGACAAATGCAATAATTTGGATGTTTATCCAACAGACCGTAGGCAGTGCCAACAATGTAGCTCCGAAACAGATCCACTTTGCACCAGCACACCAAACAGCAACAAGATCTGCCCGATCTACGCTGAAAATGATGGTTGTGTCACGAATCTGCGCGATGGTATCACGACACGTGGTTGCGCGTCCAGCATGAGCTGTGACGATGAAAGTGACAGAAAAACATGCCGCATTTGCACCACCAGCGGTTGTAATACAGTGAACTTGGAGAAGTCACTAGAACAAGGCGAACCCGGCAAATGGCAGGATGTACCGATTACATGCCGCACTTGTGAAGGCGAAGAGGATTGCGAGAGCCTAGGCAACTATCGTGTTTGTACCAGCAATTTATACCAGAGCTGTATGACAGTCTTCAATACAAACGGTAATGTGATACAACGTGGCTGCAGTGACGCAGTCGAGGAAAACAATAGCGCACTCTGCTCGGAGTACCCAGAAAATTGTTTGCGCTGTAACTCGAATGGCTGCAATAACTCAACACGTTTGGCCGATTACATTGATTGTATTTACTGCGACACTGATAGCAATATCAACTGTTTGAACAACGTTATAGCGGTGACGCAGACACGTAAGTGTAATACATACTGCACGACAGCGCTCTACCCCAAATATGATGAAGTCAACCCCGCCTACACATTGGCACGCACATGCTTTGACGATTTGGAGTATGATGATCGTGTAGCCTGCGTGGCCGGTCAAAAAGAACATTGCCAAGTATGCGCTGAGGCCAATTGTAACACACAGTCGGTGCCGGAAACGCGACTAAGCTGTAATGTGTGTAAGGGTGATGATTGCCAGGATCCACAGCCGCAGTCATGCGCCGCATATCGCGAGGGTGACCAATGTTACATACAATTCGATGAGCAGCGCAGCATTGTCGGCTTCGGTTGCCGCAGTGAGTTCACCAATGCCGAAGCTGACTATCTGCTACAAAATCAGCGCCTGTTCTACTGCGATGGTGATAATTGCAACACCTTCGATGCATTACCAGCAGCACAGAGCTGTAAGCTTTGTAACTCACGTACTGATTTGAATTGTGCCACAAATCCTAACAACGTCACAGCCACCACGCGTTGTACCTACTTGCCATACACTGAATGTTACACACGCATACTGGACGGCGGCATCACCGAGCGTGGCTGCCTGTCGAGTTTGTACGATGACGATTTCAGTGGCTGCTTAAATGGCACCGCACCATATTGTCAGGCCTGCAAGGGTGACTCCTGCAATAATGAAGTGTACCCGGAAGATCGACTTTCTTGCCATATTTGCGACTCTCTCACAGATCCAACTTGCAAAAATAAACCAAATAGTGTGAGCGTTTGTCCGTTGCACGTCACCGGCGATACCTGTGTCACAGCTTACAGTAATGATGTGACCTATCGTGGCTGCAGCTCGAGCGTGCGTTGTGATGCCTCCCAGCCGAGATCTTGTTGGCAGTGTGAGGGCACTGCTTGTAATACCATCAATTTGTCACGTAGACAAGATGATAACTATGGCAAATGGCAAGATCTGCCATTGAGTTGTCTCACATGCAACAGCACATCGTGTGCAGCTGTCAATGGTGTAGAGTCTGTAACTTGTGCAAACAACAATGAACAGGACTGCGTTACGGTGTTCCAAAGCGGTACGGTTGTCAGACGTGGCTGTGCCGATGCTGTTGAAAAGGAATATGGCGACTACTGCGACAGTAATCCGGTAGATTGTTTGAACTGCAAGTCCAATTCATGCAACAATGCAACGGCGTTGACACAATACAACGAGTGCATCTACTGTGACACACTAAAGAATTTGTCGTGTTTGTGGAGCCCAGAAAGCGCGGCACACAAAACGCGTCAATGTCAAGGTGGTTGCATGACTGCGCTGTATCCCTCGGATAGTAGCAGCGATCCCGGTTACGAACTGATACGCACCTGCTTGGATGACAAAGAGGCCGCTGATCGCGCCAACTGTAACAATAACCAATGCCAGAGTTGCGTGGGTAGCAAGTGCAATTCTGCAACGGTGCCGGCCGAGCGTCTGAGCTGTTATCAGTGTGCAGGTGACGACTGTGATGAACCCGAGCTGAAATTGTGTCCTCTCTACAAGAGTGAAGACAAGTGCTTCACTTGGTTCGACGAGACTAACAGCGTTAGTCGAATGGGTTGTGTGAGCTCGTTCCACGATCAAGAAATAAGCACCATTATCAGCACGAAGCGCGTGCTTGTATGCGAGGGTGAGGCTTGCAATTCTTTGAACAATTTACCTAGACCACAGCAGTGCGCCGTTTGCAATTCGGCAACGGATTACACTTGCGCTACGAATGCGCAGGAGATAAACACATTCAACACTTGCAACGTATATCCGTACACAAACTGCTACACCAAATTGATCAGCACGGGTAAGTACAAGCCTAGCTGTAGCATTCTAAACATTTGCGTCATAAAAGGACTTTATTTTCCTCAGATGGTTCGACAACACGTGGGTGCTTGAGTGATCTGCCAGCCGCTGAATTCGTCGACTGTGTCTTGGGCAATGATAAGAACTGCAGTATTTGTATTGGAGAGGGTTGCAATCGTGAGGTAAGTGAAATGAGAATACGTCCTTCTAATTGCTGAGGTGATTCTCTGTAGGATCAACGCAGGTATACTTTAGATGTCTAGTCATCACAAGCACGAAACACTATATAGAGTAAAGCTTAATAATTTTTTTCCATCAATGCAGGTTTTCCCCGAGGATCGCCAACTGTGTTATACCTGTAATAGCGAAGATGACGATTCCTGCCAATCCAACCCAACACGTCTCTTGGCATGCCCATTCTTTACAGAGACTGAGAAATGCCGCACCGCTGTAAGCAACAACGTTACGGTACGTGGCTGCAGCTCGGAGATCTTGTGTGATCTTAACGACAGAAACTGCGTATCATGCAATGGCAGCGCCTGCAATAGTATCGATTTGGTGAACCGTGCCGAAGACGATGGCGTACATGGTATGTGGCAAGAGTTACCACTAAGATGTCACACCTGTGAGGGCGAACACTGCCTGCAGTCGCTGGGACCAGCCTACGAATGTACCCGTAATACGGCACAAGACTGTGCGACTGTCTTCACAACGGACGGTGATGTGAAACGTCGTGGCTGCTTCGACGATGTGGAAATCTACGAGCAACGCTATTGTCGTGAGAATCCACATTTATGTTTCAGCTGCAAATCCAACGAATGTAATGATGCCTGGGATACGGCCGATTATATTGAATGTAATTTCTGCACTTCCGATACGAACCCATTATGCTCAACCGATCCACAAAACGCTAACTTCACCAAACGCGCCTGCAATAAGGAATGTATGGTGGCAATTAAAGGCTCACAGGTGATACGTTCCTGTTTGGATGACAAGGAACTGTACCATCGCAACGAGTGCCGTGGCGATAGCGACGAATGCTCGAGCTGCAGCACGCCCAATTGTAATGATTTCATTTATCCCGAACTTCCTGAAAATGACTTCAGCTGCCACGTCTGCAATGACGCATCATGCCTCACGAGTGTCAGCCAACGTTGCGCGGTCGCCAATGACTACTGTTTTGCCAAATACGAGAATGGACGTCCCGAACTCTTGGGCTGTGCCAGTTCGCAGAGTCAAAGCAATCTAACGGCATGGGAAGCGGAGAATAAATTATACACATGTACGGAGAAGGACTGTAATATACTCTCTAATTTGCCAACCACAGGTGTACAGTGTGTATCGTGTAATTCGGAGCTCACGCCCGCATGCGCACAAAACCCAACCGCAGTAGCAGCCACCGCCTCATGTCCAGCACTCCAAACTCAATGTGTCACGAATGTGAATAACGGTGTGTAGCATTGATTTATAATTAATTTTTTTTTTTTCAAACAAAATTTGAACTATTTCATATTTTTAACTAACTTTCAGCTGGCCATACATTGCGCGGTTGTCTGAGCGATCTGGCGCAAAATGATCAAACGGCATGTGCAATTAACGGCACATGCAGCATATGTATTGGCGACAGATGTAACAATGTGGTGAGTTTCCTTTCTCATGCAACACAACAACAAGCTTATTTAATAATTTTTTAATTTAAATTTATGTTTGATATTTTTTTCTCTCACTCAGCTCTTCCCCAGCAATCGCCTTAGATGCCACATATGTATCTCCTCGGTCGATGAGAGTTGCTCTAGGGAACCCAATCATCTACAGGTCTGTCCGATCTACTCGTCCACCGATCAGTGTGTGACCAGACATGATACGTACACGGAGCGCGGTTGCAAATCGCAAATCACATGTGACCTCAGTGATGGCCAGACATGCAATATTTGCTCGGGTGACGGCTGTAATACAGTCGAGCTGACCGGTGGCGCCACCGTGCTGTCTACAGTTAGCCTATTGACGACATTAGTACTCGCTATTGTTGCAATGTTAGTGATTACATAGATTTAGTTAAGCGAAAGGAGTCCAATTTAAAGCGTAAATAATTAACGAAAGCACAAAGAATATTTACTACTTACGTAACACTTTAGCATAAATATAACGGTTTGTATATAATACTTAGCGTAAAGAAAGGAAGCAATAATACTTGAAATTTTATTTTTAAAATCATCAAAGTGTTCCAGTGGTAGCACTAAGCGTACATATATGTATATGAAAGAAACATTTAATAGAGGCATATGTACATACATATATAAAATTAATATCTTGCTTTTGTATAACTGAAATAATGTGAAATTACGTGTCTATATATTTCGTATAGATTCGCGCATTCATTATTTGAACACTAATAAATGTACATAGTATACACTTTTATATAGTTATATATATATATAAAATATATTCGCTTACTTTGTACATATTTGTATGTATGTAGCAATTTTGGTTAGCAGAAGTCAAAATAAAACAACATATTTTTTAATAATAAAAAAAGTTTTTTAATTAAAAAATAAGAAGCTATTAAATCCAGCATATCTCTTTCCACGTCCATACGTTGTAGAGAAAGAAAAATGTCGAACCACTTTTTTATTCTTGCAACCAGTTGCTACAGAGAATATTAGTTTTGTTCGCCTAACGGTTTTATGGATCACGTTAAACTAAAAATATAGATATATAAATGATCACGATGACAGGAAACGTTGAAACCCGAATTAATAATGGTATGTCCATCCGTCCGTGGATGCAGTAACTTAAGCAGAAATTGAAATATCTTGGACTTGGAACGCATGTTCCTTAGAAAAGAAATACGGTTTTGCGGATGAGCGTAGTCGAGCCACCACTACGCCCACAAAACACCATTAACCGTAAACCTATAAAAATCTATAACTAAGCACTAAATTAAGATATGAACTGAAATTTCGCAAAGGTGGTCGCCCTCTAATAAGTTTAATGTATATATATCTCCTAAACCACTTAAACTACAACAATCAAATTTACCCAAATCAAATATTCGTTTTACGAACAAACCTTATGCCGAATATGTCGGTCAGTGTATGTGTTATATCTAATGTAATGGGACAAAAAAGCACCCGGAAATTGTAATTTAAATTATGTTTGTAAATAATATTTCAAAAAAATTTATTTTGCTAAGATACCAGGACTGTCCTTAATTACACCGTAAAATATGAACACTATCTGTCAACCTGTTTGTTTACAGCAGCTGCTTAAGGCGGTACACCTCCGTAGTGCGTTGCAATTTTTACAATCGATAAGAATATCGAACAAATAATTTGTCTCAAATTTTGTATTTCTAACATTTCTTGTGCGGATCGTTGCTAATGATGGAAAAGGCTTGCGATGATTAAATTTTATCAAAAACACAAGCTTACGAGTAGTACAAAGCCTTCAAAGACGTTCAAGAGATCGTTGACGAATAATAGATGGAGTACTTGAAAATCGTCAGGTAAGTTTTAGAGCAAGAGAGCTCGACATCTCTCACGAGTCCGAAAGAATGAGTTCGGTGGATACTTTGGGTATGAAACGCGTTCTTTCTCGACTTTTCCTGAGACATGCAAAGTAGTCAACCACCATTCAAATGAGGTGGGATAACGAGCCAAAACTAAAAAATAACTCCAAGGAGCTTAAAAATCAAGGTTATGCTCATTATTTTTTCAATGAATTTGTTCCAGAAGGGCAAATGGTCAATAAGGAGTTCTATTATGCGATAATGAGGCGTTTGCGTGAGAATATCCGTCGAAAACGCCCGGAATTGTGGAAGAACTATTTATGGATTCTACACGATGATAATGGATCATCGTATCGAGCTAACATATTAACCGAATGTGAAGTTAAAAACGCAATGAATACCATACATCAACCACCGTATTCACCAGATTTGGCCCGTGCGATTTTTACTTGTTCTTCAAACTAAAATTGCCACTCCTTGGAACCCGTTTTCGGTCGGTCGAAGAGATAAAATCAAATTCGGTAAGGAGCTGAAGGCCATCCTAAGAGCTTATAAACTGTCGTTCGAAGACTGGAAAAATCGTTGGCATAATTATATTACATCTGGTGGAGATACTTTAAAGGAGATAAAATGTATATTTTATGCGTCAAAATGTAAATGAACCGAATACAACTAAGTCGAAGTCAAAATGATTATTCTAAAACCTACTTGAAGATATTTTTACACAGGTAGCGTTTCACATGCTCATATGTATTAAATATGCATAAAAATAGGAACTTTATGACGGAACTACCTAAAACAAAAACCAACTCCAGGTGTTTAACTCACTTGGCACGAAAAACAACTACATCGGTGTGTCAAATTACAGTTAAGACAAATTGTAAAATATAGCATTTGTTCCTTACCTTATGCGGGTATGCTAAGTGCCAAGTGGCATTAAATTTTGAACCCGATAGTATGGAAGTACGTATTGTGCCTGTAATGAAAATAATAAACAATTAATATATAATTTTATTTTGTTTAGTAAATGACTTTCTACAATAATGTACATTGAGTGTTGTATGAGAACTGAGAGTATTCGACGCAGTACCCGCCGTGGGAAACAGAGGTAGAGGAAGACCTCTATTCTGTTGGAATTACCAGGGCGAGAAAAACCTAACTACACTTCGAATCTCTAATTGGCCAATTGGCGAAGGAGGAACGTCTGACGCGCTCGGCTATAACCGGGTAAGCGGCGTCTACGCCAATAAAGAAGAAGAAGAACAAACTAAATATATTGGAGATCGCATAAGATAACTTTCAGCAATTCGATATTATGACAACTTTTTAGAAGAAAAATTTTACCAAGCATAAAAATAAATTGCGATAAGTTTTACAACCTTCATAAATGTCTCCAGCAATCTTAATGTTTATTGCGAGGTAGGTTCTTTACAAAAATATATAATGGTTTCTTATAGACCCAAATAACAAAAAAAGCTGATAATAAGTTTTAACTACAAAAAAGCATCAATAAAATTTAACTGAAATTAACAATTTAATAAATAATAAATAAAAACGTGCCGATATCAACTGATTTAGCAAACCAATTGATTGATTAATTTTGAATGACAAATTCAATGCAAAATTTATGACGAATCAAAGTTGCATCGCATCTAATTGTTTTTACCATAATTTATATATATTTTATTGGCTATAATAAATACAGTAAAAAGTAGGCACTATTAACTGATAAGCTATATTCTATCACTTTGTGAGCTTATCAATGGATGTGTCATGTGCGTCGGTCATATTTTGATTGAACTGATGTCTCGCTGTTGTTGTTGCTACAACGTTATTCCCAAATACTATTTGGAAACGCTGCGTGGTGACTGGGCTTGGAGAGATATATAGTAAATCTGAATTCGTTCCGAATGCGTATACCTAATTGCCGTGAGATCTGTAGCAAATGGTGATAAATCGACCTTTTATAAGAGAGAGTAAAAGAATTCTCGCTAAAATAAGAAAACTCATAAAAAAGCAAAACTAAGTCGGGTAAATAGCACACTTTTTAGGCTGTTGGGTAAATTATCTCACTAATGAACTGAATTTAACAAGATTTCGTGAAAGTTCCACTCTTAGCATGCAGAAAAAGATCGAGTTTGTAATGACAATACAACTGCAGGACCACTTGGAAAAACGTTTCTATGATAATTGGATCTAAGTAACCGGAACGGACCCGTATTTTCATCCGACCAAGGACTGTTGACACGGCACCATTCCTCGAAATTACTTCAGTAACGTTCTCTGCCGCCAGAAAACGCATGTAATGGTTGCCAATAGTTGAAAATATACTTGCAAGAATTATCCCGATACCTTCATCATTAAGCCAATTAGCAAAGATATTTATGGCAATTGATTCAATTATGAAGCTGTCTCAAACGATTATGAAGCTATGTGATGGACAAGTGAAAACTTTATTTTATCAATCCGGTGTACGAACGTATCAGAAATAATACCCAAAATAGTTTAGGGCGATTCGTTTCACTAGAATCATGGAAACCGTCGTGAAGAATGTCAGATATGTACATAAATGTCAAACTTACCAACAGAAATCAAAAAGAAGGAGAGACTTGAGGATGTATATGATCACACTGTTATACTTATACATATTATACAAGCCCAGTTCGATGCAACTCAACGTTCTATGATTTCGTGCGAATTGTACTCCAATCATATCCTGCATATGATTGGACGCAGCCTTATCGATACGAATCGCAAATACGCACAGCTCCATGTCTACATGGCTGCTTACATACATCTGGTGTATAAGTATATATATATACATATGTTTCAAATGAGGTTTGAAATAAAGCAAGCATGAATTAATCGACAAGTTCATTAGTGCAGACATCTGGAACAAATGTCATTTAACACTTTCGAATTATGACACCACTTTAAAAATTCCCAAAGCTGTATAAACATAGTAGACTATATTTTATGCATGTATATGCGTAAATATCTAATTGTATTGGTATATACAGGCATATGTGGCAAAATAAATTATAGGTAAATTTGATCGATGCGAAAATATTATAAATAATTCTGGTAAGAAAGAGTGCTCGCACAGAGATGCCGAGTAAAATTTTTAAAAACAATGAAAATGTGTAAAAATAAACAAAGTGAATTCGCATTTGTTAAATTAAATTTTAGAGCTTTACTTTATGAGTAGTAATGTTTCAAACTTTCCTTGAAACTAATTTAACTATCGATTTCTATGGGAACGTCTCAGTGTAACCCTCCGAAAACCGTCAATGGCGACCGTAATCACGTTATCATAAACGAAAAATGTTTGAAATTCAAGCCCGTGAACGCGGCGACATTGGTTTCAACAAGACGGCACCACTTCCCAAACATCGCATCAATCAATGGATTTATTAAGACAGATACTAGTTAGTTTCACATGTTGAGCCGGTCGATTTTCCAACAAGATCGTGCGATATCACACCGTTGGCCCTTTTCTGTGGGTACATGTGAAGTCTTAAGTCTATGCGAACAATCCCATTTCGGTTCAGGCCTTGGAGCAAAGCATCACACGTGACATTCGACAGTTACCAGTCGGAATGCTCGAACGATTTATTGAAAATTGGACTCAACGGATGGACTATCTGAGACGTAGCCGCGTCCAACATTTGAAAGAAATAATCTTCAAAAAATAAATGACAAAAATCTTCTTTCGAATAATAATAAACAGTCCCGATTAGTTTTGAATTTTCTGTATTTTTTCCTAAAAAAAAAGTAGGGAATTTCGAAATGGATCCCCATTTACAAGTGAAGCACCTCATTATTAAGAGTTAGTGGTGAGAATAGTAAAGAAAATCGCTTTCTGTAATGATCATGCTTACACACGAGGGACTCTAATG